CTCCAATTCTCATCGTAATTCATACGCTCGGTCCACGATATCCTCAGCATCCTTCTGTAGAACCATACCTCTGTTGCCCCAAGTCTCTTCTTCATTACTCAAAATAAGTGTTGCTTTCTTTTTTGGTGCCGTAACTTGACGAATTTCAACGTATTACTAGACTGGCAGATAGGTCTCATCATTTTGCAATTTAAATGACCAGATATACCGTAAGTTTATGCTAACAGTTTCTTTTCCCAAATCTCTCACTAATTGAAAATAATCTAAAAAATAAAGACACTGTGATCAGATTATTCACGAGCTCTCGCTCCTTTAGCCTTGGGCCATACTAAGCACGTAGTACTAAATAGAGCTGCCGGCGGATAAGTAATGAATTAGTTTCACTGTGTAGTTCATACTCACTGTCCAATTTGTTTGTGTAAAAATATCAATCTTCACTAGGCGCTCCCTGTGAACGCCTTGTGTCAGACTATGCTGGATTTAATGAATATAGCTTGTTTTGTGGTTGACATTATGCGTGCTTTCAGTTGACGCAGTTTCTTGGGGATCAAGACGAATTTTCACATACTGATTTTTAAAAAAGACGGACATTTGGCGGAGCACAATCTTACGACTTTGTAGATTTCCACCCAAACAGACAGGATATTAAGTAAATAATTTAATGAAAGAGAATAGGGGAAGGAAAGAAAAAAGAAAAAGAGAAAAAACGTGAAAAAGAAGAAGTGAATACGAAAGGAAGAAAAAAAAAGGAATTAGGGGAAAAACGAAAATATTCTGAAAGTAAAAAAAAGAGAGAATGTGTGAAAGACAGAGAAAGAGGAGAGATGAAAAACAAAAATAAGAAAGAAAGAAAGATCTAGATGAATGAAATAAGAGAAAGAACGAGAAAATGAAAGAAGAACGGCCAGAATTAAAGAATGGAAGGAAAAAATAACACAAGAATAATCGAAAAAAATCAAATGAAGAAAGAAAGAAAGAACGAAGGAAAAACCGAATGAAATTAAATGAGTGGAGAAAGAAAGCAAGAAAAAGGGAAAGAAAGAAAGAAAGAAAGAAAGAAAGAAAGAACGGAGGAAGGAAAAACCGAAATAAAAGAAATGTGTGAAAAGAAAGAAAGAAAGAAAGAAAGAACGAAGGAAAAACCGAATGAAATTAAATGAGTGAAGAAAGAAAGCAAGAAAAAGAGAAAGAAAGAAAGAAAGAAAGAACAGAGGAAGGAAAAACCGAAATAAAAGAAATGTGTGAAAAGAAAGAAAGAAAGAAAGAACGGAGGAAGGAAAAACCGAAATAAAAGAAATGTGTGAAAAGAAAGAAAGAAAGAAGAAAAGAAAGAAAGAAAGAA